ATCCAAGAAGCTCCAAAAACTTAGGTAGGATCCAAAACAGAATTATAATAGATCATTGTCAAACAACTGAAAACCAAAGATAGAGAGAAGGTTGAGGTGGTCAAGTGGGTGGGGTATTTCCATAGAGGACAAAAGACCTATAAAGCACAAATATATAAGCCAAAGGAAAGTGCATGAATTTTCAAAATATTGAAAAGAAAATAGAACACTCAAACCCCTGGTGAATTTATGGGCTGAGGGTGGTTAAGTGGCTAAAGTGTCTGCTATACAAAGCATGGGGCCTGAGTTTGGATCCCAGCAGCCATGGAAAAGCCAAGTGGTATACATCTATGACCCTGGTGCTTGGGAGGCAATGATATGAGGATTTCTGGGGCTTGCTAGTAGACCAGTCTAGCCATAACAGTGGACTCTAGTGTTGGGGGATGGTGAGAGACACCATCCCTCAAAATAAGGTAGTGAGTGACTGAAGAAGACACCTGGTGTTGACCTCTATATTGGTTACTTTTCTGTTGTTCTGATAAAGCACCATGACCAAGACAACTTAGAGAAAAAGGAACACATTTCAGAGGGCTAAAAGTTGTCATGGTAGAGAAATGCTGCAGGAAGCAGCAGGCATAACAGCTGGGACAGGACCCTGAGAGTACACATCCTTCACCATAAGCACAAAGCAGAGGAAGCAAGCTGGAAGTCACAAGAATCACTAAAGTCTCCTAGGCCACCTCCTGTGCCATATTTCCTCCAACAATGCCATACCTCCTGAATTCCCCAAACAGCACCACCAACTGGGACCAAGTGTTCAAATACATGATCCTATGGAGGACATTCTCACTCAAACCACCACTAGTAAGCATACAGTGACCTACATGTACACAGTGCACATACAACACATATAACTTGTCAATCCAGCATTGGACCCAGTGAGAACACTCCTCAGATGTGAAGGAGAACGCGCGCGCGCGCACACACACACACACACACACACACACACACACACACCAAAGAAACAAACAAGCAAACCAAAACAAAACAAAAACCCATGAATGAAGTCATTGCCACCAGACCTACAATACATGAAATATAAAGAAGTGCCACAGGTAGGAATACATTAGGCAGATAGCTATAATTTACCCCTTCAAAATTAGGAATAATGAGAATGGGGTAGAAATGAAAGACTGGTTTCCATATCTTCAATTTCACTGAAAGATAAATGTCTAAGGAAAAACAATATAATAGTTTGCAAATTTTAGCATATATAAAAACAAATGACAACAGCACCAGAGAGAGAGAGAGACAGAGAGAGAGAGACAGAGAGAGAGAGAGAGAGAGAGAGAGAGAGAGAGAGAGAGAGAGGATACATTGAACATTACTGTCATAGGGCTATTTTTTCGTCTTTTGCATTTTGAAACAGGATTTCTCTATTATGTATCCCTGGCTGTCCTGGAGCTCACTATGTAGACCAGGGTGGCCTTGAACTCACAGAGATCCACTTGCCTCTGCCTCCCAAATGCTGGGAATAGGGCATGTGCCAGCACACCCAGCTAAGATTCTTATACTACATATAAATCAGGTATTTATCAAAACAAATATTAAATTTTTAAAAGATATATAAATAACAATCTAGTTGTAGGAATACATAAAGAAATTCATTTCAGACAGAACCAGTTAAGCTAGAACAACTGGCAGATGGAAAATTGAACTAACCATGTAATTGCATTAAATGTAAAGTCTAGATGGGGGAAATTGCCAGATTAGATAAACAATTGCCCAAGATCTTACTCTGTGCTAAATATAAGACATAAGACAAATGTATGAACAGATTGACAGAGTAATGAGGTAGAAAGGCAGAGATCTTGAAAATGCTCTAGTACCCATGTAACTGCCAAAGTAAACTGATGAACAGAAGTATTACTAGGAACAATATCTGTTGTGAATAACACAAATATGATAATACACATGTGTGATAAAAAAGGAATCAGTTCCCCAGGGAGGCAGAACATCCCAATTTAAATATATTTAACTACAAATCCTCAAAAATGAGTTTCAGATGAAGCAAAAATGGATAGAAACTGAAAAATCCACAATTAAAGCTGGAGATAGAAGTCGATAGAACAAAAGGATACAAAGTCATTAAGGACAAGGAGAACATGAGCACTGCTGTCAATCATTCTGACCTAACAGACACTTGTAGAACACCTCATCGATGACAGCTGAAGACAGCGTTTCCCGTGCACACAGGGCACTCTTCGACATGCTCCATGTTATGGACTATTAGACAGGTTTAAATAAACATAAAAGACCTGATATATTGCAATGTGTACAATCTGACTACAGGGAAATGAAAATAGAAGTTAATAACAGAATAGTAACTCTCACTACTTGAAAAATCAAGCAATTCATTCTTAAAATAATCTATAGATTAAAGAGACAGTGATAGAAAAAAGTAAAAATACTTTTAAATCAAAATGAAAATATAGCATATCAAAATCTGTGAAGTAAAATTAAACAGTGATTAGAAAAAATTAAAACATTAAATGATTTTACATGAAAGTGAATTTACTTGAATTTTTTATTTGTTCCTTTTACAACTGAGTCTCATTCTGTAGCCCAGGCTAGCCTAGAACTAACTGCCTGTGTAGCCCAGAATGGCCTCAAACTCATGGTGAACCTCAGTTTCCCAAGTGCTTGTATTATAGGCATGGATACCTGACTAAATAGATAGGTTTTAATCGGTGACATGTTTTCATACAAAGACTAAAAAGAGAAAGGATAAGAAGCCCCAAATCAATTTTTTTAAAAAAAATCAATAAAATTGAAAATTGACAAGCCAGAGAAAGCAACAACTGCTTTAAAAGAAGAATATCTATATATTAAACACTGATAAATCTCCAGGCACACTGACCAAGAAAAATGAAAGAAAATCCCAGTTACTCACATAGAGAATGAGAGAGGCGACATCACCACAGATCCCACAGATACTAAGATGAAGTAAAGAAATATGGACAACTTTAAGCTCATAACTTCAAACTTTTGGATGAAATTTAGAATAAAAGAAGAGTGGAAATGTGTTCCACCTCACTTTTTGAGAACAGTATTACCCTGACACCAAAATCAGAGAAAGACATTATAAAAAAAAAAAAGCTTTAAAAACCACTAACATTTATAAATTGGGATATGTAATTCACAATAAAATAGCAATTCAGATCTATTAATGTATTTCAAAATTGTGAGGAGTATATTACACTTATTGATATCAGTAATATAAGTGTAATATAAGTGTAATATACTCCTCCCAATGTGTCCCTATGTCAGACAACAGACAACAGAAGCAATCTTAGTGGGCTCCTGAGAAGAAATGTTTTAGGCAACAATCTCTAGCCGCGAAATAATACAAATAGCAATAGCTCCCAACACTCCAAAAGTTTTAAATGCCCTTCTTAAATTCTTATGGTGGTGGGACTGCAAAGGGAAGTCATAAAATAGGTATGAAATTATAGTATTAAAATAGTGCATACGGAACACGGTTAAAACAGCCTTAGAACAGAATGCCTAGCATGCATGAGGCCGTGGGGTTGGCCCCTATCATCGTATAAAACTGGGCGTGGTTGCATACTTTTGTAATCCCAGCACTCTGCAGGTGGAAGCAAGGGGATCAAGGTCATTCTTGGCTACACAGTGAGTATGAGACCTGGTCCATAACTGACTGACTAGCTGAGCAACTAAATAAACCAGTTACCATTTAGGAATTTATCCTGTACATATATCCCATATAGTAGGATGATAGTGGCAGAATATATGCTCACTCACAACTGGTAATGACCTTCTTGGGAATAAGGGTCATTGCAGACACGATTATGACTCTCCAGGTGAGGTCAGCCTGAAGTAGTCAAGTGGGCCTAACTCTAGGTGCAGGTGTCCCAGTGAGAGACAAAGGAAGACAAAGATACAGGGCAGAAGACAATGAGTAGATGGGGGCAGACATTGTAGTGATGCAGCTGCAAGCCAAGGGACACCAGGGACTGCTGAAAGCCACCAAGAACCAACAGCCAGGCCTGGGCAGACATTCCACAGAGCCTCTGAAAAGACAGTCTGCCAGCCCTTTGACTTCTCACACCAGCTTTTTTTTTATAAGGGACATTCAGGAAGGCATGGCCAAAGAAGAAACCAAAGGGGAGAATAAATTGTTCTCATTATAAGCTGCCCATTATGTGAGAATTTATTACAGAATCCACAGGAAACTAATATGCTCCACCATGTCACCCGACACCCTTCCCTGTCCTTGTAGTTGGACAGGACTTGAAATCCCAAGAGAATCAATAAAGTTCAATATGGAAGAAGCCCACAGGGTTACAGAAAACCATGAGCTTGTAGAATGTCCCCTGAGACAGCACCAACACCCAACTGTCACTGGAAGTGAGAGGGCTTGTTTACAAGGGACCACTGAGAAAGGGGTGGACAAGCAGAGAAAAATCCATAGGGAGACCACTGCAAACTGGGGTAAGATGCTGCCTGCTCTTAGCCCCCCCCCCCAAAAAAAAAACAGCCTGGGAGGACACAGCTGGCCAGAGGCAACCCCACATAGAAGAGGCCAGAGAAAGTTCCCCTGCCTCCACTGTCTGCCCTGCTTCCCAGTGAGGAAGTTAAAGAGCATGGTGGAGAATGCAGAGAAGCCGCTCAGCATAAGGGTGACATGGTTTTGTGTGAAAGCAAGGCAGAAAATAGTACAGAGACACTGTTCCAGTGCACATGTGAACCACACATGGTGACCTCCATGGAAGCCGCTGTAGTGATTCCCACTGCACACCATTTGGAAGTTTGAACCATTTTCAAAGTAGAAACATTTTATTTACATTCAAAATTACTACCTTGAATTTTTAAAAGTCCATTATTAATGATCTTTACAAGGCCCTGTTTACCATACTAGTTAAAAACAAACAAGCACCCATAAGAGCCAGTGCCTGGCTCCTCCCAATGAGAGGTGCTTAGAGACTGAGCAAACTCACCTGTCGGGCAATGCCTGCAGCACGGTGGGCATCAGCACCCCAGAGATGGCCTTGTAGAGGATGGAGTCACACACGCCCACAATGTTCACCACTGTGGAGGAACCGAGCACGGGCAGCATGTGGGGTGGCATTCCTTGCCAAAAGTGCAGAAGGAAACTTTGAACCTGCATTGACCAACAAGAAGAGTAGCATTCAGACAGAGCCTTGTGATGCCACTTCCACAGCACAGGCTGCAGCTCCTGAGTCTGGGAGCTGCCCCTGTTTGGGACGCTGTGAGGGACTTCTGCCCCCTGCCCACACTTGTGCATGCCGACTGCTGGATGCCTGTCTGTCCTGCAGCCTGGTGTTGGGCTCCCTCACTGTAAGATGAACTCTGTAAGCTGAAGTCTGAGAGCTGGTTAGGGAGGGAGGACCGGACACTTCAAAAAGATCAGAACACTAGCACCCGCTGTTCTTTGAGCCCCTGCTGACTCCTGGGTGTTCTGGGAAGGAAGGGGGAAGATGTGGTAGCTATAGGTTGAGAGCACAAGAAGTGTTGGCCACCTACAAAATTCTCCTGCTTCAAATATGTGTGCCAAAACCCTGGACAGAGGGCAAGGAACTTCTCATCGCCCAAGCTCCCATGTTCTCAAAGTGCCTGGTGTCTTTATGGGATGATAGGTGGTGACACATAGGCAGGAAGATAGAAGGGCACATGAAACACATGATTGGCTTTTTCTTTGTTCCCCAGGACACGAAGCAGCACTCTGCAGGATGCACATAATGGAATTCTTGTTAGCATGGTGAAAGCAACAATTCCAGGCTTCTTGTGGATAAGCAAGTGGCTGAGGGGCTGCTCCAAGCAGAGTGTGTCTTGGTGACACCCCACCCACAACTTTTAGGGTGTGGTTTGAGGAAGAAGGTAGAGGAATGAGACAAGGGAAGGGAAACAGAAAAAGGTAGCCTCATATACACAAAGACACCCCTAAACTGAGAAACCCATGAGGAAGCTATGAGCATCCAAATGTGGGTCTCTATAGGGCTAAATTGAGTCCTGGGCTATGCATCGTTCTCCCCACTCCTCAAGATAGGCACGCTGGAACTCCACATGCATCGTATTCCAGGTTGCTGATTCCCAAGAGCTAGTACTGATCCAATGTGGCAAGCACAGTCTGGCCTTAGTGCTTTGGAACTAGTATTTTTATTTTCATTTTTATTTTTGGTGAGTGCCCCATCCGCCGTGTGCCTGGAGCATTACAGAGTTCTCTGTTGTAACACTGTTAATGATAATTGAGCCCAGGATCTTCACTCCCACTTACAGAGCTACCAGCTTCTGGTGAAAAATATGGAAAATGTCAGCTGCTGTGTAGGATAAAACAAGTCCATTGAGAGACTTTAGTGGGCATCTGATTGATAGAAGCCTGCTCAAGTCACATAAGGAACCTTATCAGTCCCCAAGTTCCTGGCAGCCACTGTATCAAGTGTGCTACCAACTGTTAACCTCTCTTCCTTCTCTTTTTATGACATTGGATGCCCAATGGTTCCCACTCCCCTGACAAAGGATAGGAAGAGAAGAGAGAAGGAGGGGAATTTAAGTGTTGAGATCTGGAGGCCAGCTGTGAAATGGAACATGGACAGCATTTCTACTTAGGACAGACAGCTGCTCTGACCTTGCTCTGGACTGGAGGGAAAGGGAAGAGCTGAGGTTTGTGGTTTGAGTGGTTGGGCAGAGGGTCCCAGCAATGTTAAACTTGGGGAGACAGACATAGGACAGGAAATTAGGAGCTCTGGTTTAGCTATGTAAAATCAGATCAATCAAATCTGATGCTCAGGACTAAGTGTGTGAGAGCCAGCAGCCCCTTAAGATGGATAGAATGACTTCTAGCTATTGGTAGGATGAAATAAGATGCCTTGTGTAAAGTGTCTGGCATTGTGTAGCATTGGATAAATGGAAACTTATTATTAGGCAAAAGGAGGCATTCTGGGAAGTTCTCCTCAGTCCTTTGGAGCAATTTCAGTGTAAGGATCAGACAAGCGTTTGGATGTGATCACTGACTCCCAGCTCTCTGAGCTACCCATCCAGTCTCCCGGACCTCCATCCCTTCTTCCAGGGAAGCACCAGATTTTTAGAATTTTTATTCAATTTGTTTTTTATTATTTTATGTGTATAAGTGTTTTGCCTGCATGTATGTCTGTGTACCTCATGCTTTCCTGGTGCCCAAGGATGTGGTGAACCCCCATGTGGGTGCTGGGAATCAAACTCAGGTCCTTTGCAACAACAACAAGAGCTCTTAAACACTAAGCCAACTCTCCATTCCTCTAATTGGGGGAGGGTGAGACAGGGTTTCTCTGTGAAACAGTTCTGTCTATACTGAAACCCACTCTGTATTCCCTTCCTCCCAAGTGCTAGGATTAAAGGTGTGCACTACCACTGCCTGGCCAGTCCCCTGATTTTTAAAAGAACACCTAAGCAACATTATTTTTTAAATCTCTTTTCCATGTCCATTTTTAGTTTATAGCAAACACACTGGCAACACGTAGAAAGACATCTAATGATGTGAAGTTGAGCGTTGAATTGGCTTGGCATTGGAAACTATTGCTTAGTAAACCAATAGTTACCAAAATGTCTATCATCTGTTATGTTCTAGTACAAAGCCAGACACATATATACTGTTTAGTATATATCCCAATTTTGCTATGAGATCATTACAATTGCCAATTTTTTTTTGGCAACAATAAACAGCAAGGCTCAGAAGCAGAAAATGCTTTTGGTTAAAGTCACAGGCTAGTAAATGATGGTTTGGGGACTCAAGCATGGGACTTTGGGACTCCCTAGCTCATTGTGATATGCTGTTGAGAGAGGAGTCCCCTCCATGTGACAGCTTGACAATGTTCTACTGAGTTGCTCCCATCTGTCCAACCATCCCCCACCTACCAATCCAAACACACCCCACCAGTATGTACCAAGAGTCTGAGCAGTGAACAGGATGGACAAGGTCCCTTCCTGTGGATTGGATATTGTAATGCTTGGGGCAAACAATCCATTTATTGAAGACTTTCCTGAGAAGAAAAGTCTTCCTGCTCTTCCTTCTGTTTCGGCCAGGTGGATCCCTGCTTCCTTCTGTTGTGGCTAGGTAGACTGAACCATGTCTGGCTTAGGTACCTTAAAGGCTGCCAGGAGAGTAGCAAGGACTTCAGACTAAAGGTATCAGGTAACAAAAGGATTAGTCATAGCTGTGGTCTTACCCAGCTGTGTGTGACCTTGGACAAGTCTCTTTGTTCTCTGGATGACTGGATACCTAATAATAGCAAGCATCTGTAATACCGTTTACAGTTTATAAACTGTGCATCCCCTTCTTCTACTAATCTTGTGAATCATACTGGTAGGGGTGCTTTTTATTTCTTGGCTGAGAAACTGATACTTGATTGCATGTTTTCCATTATACTCTCTGGTTTGCAAGCCTTTCCTTCTCCCCATAAGGCTGTGTATTACATACCTCTCTAAAATGAGTAAACAATGCATGGCAAACTTTGATAACCACTAAGTGTTGGAAATAGATGAAAGGAAGGGAAATGAAATGGGAATGCCTTTTGAATTAAATAAAGTTGCAAGTGAAAAGGAGATTGTCATAGTAGCCATGGGGGTTCACACATACTCCTCAAGCCTGTTGCACTAAGACAGAGCCCTCTCTTGTCAATCACACAATGGTGACGTGTCAAGGTTAAGATGACAAGGTTAAGAACAGTGCATGACTTCTGGCTGAACAACAGGATTCTGAGACTCTAGACCACAAGCTAGAAGCAGCCTGGGTCCCTATGTCATCCCTGGCCACCAAGTCTGTGACATGACTAAGGGAAAGCTGCCAGAAGGTTAAGATTTGGGGCTTATTTGTTGTAGCAGCAAGTGTCATCTTAACTGTTTGTAACTCATTATTTACTGATTTCAGCAAGTTTTTAAAACTTAAAAAAAATACACTGAAATGTCCACTCCAGAAATTTGGGAGAATTTAAAGGACATTTTAGAGATGTAGGCACAAAAGCTGAGAGAAGGAAGAATGGTCTGTCTTTACAAACACACCGCCATCTATTCTACTGCTGTGTCTATAGAGTCAGGCAACAGGGGAAAGACATGATAGATATGTTGCCTGACAAAACACATACACAAGGAATCTCTGTGATATTTTCCACCAGTAGCGCCAGGGTTTTGTAGTTCATCTAGAGCCCAGTTCTTCTCCCTCTAATTGAACATCCATATCCAATCCCCAGGTGCCGGCAGAGGTACTGTTTCTGACCCCCCCCCAAAAAAAACCCACCATCTTTAAACATGGAGGCCTCTTGCAGGTGAGGTAGGCGGCTTAGTGGGCAAGAGGATTTTAGTAACTCTCTGGTTAAACAGGTAACTTAATTCTTTTTTGCTTTTCCATTTGTGTTCTTTTCTTGAATGCAATAGTCTAAAACAGAAATAAAGTGGGTTTCTCTCTAAGATGGCCTTCCTGAAGAAATTTGGGAGACATAGAGACCAGGCCTTGAGGGAGGAGGAGGGCAATTACCCCCAAAGCAGTAAGGTGTTTGATCTCAGATAAAGGTTGAAGTCAAAATATTATTTAGCTTCTCAGAATCCATATGTGTAGCTGTGCCGATATGCTAGCAAGATGGCCTTCCTAATGTGTCATTCTCTAGTCAAATCAAGGAACAGCCACTGCCACCTGATATGCACAATGACTCCAGTAAGATAGGGATACCAGCAGTGCCTGACTGGTAGTATCATTGTGAAGGCTAAGTGGCCAATGGCTGCCAAGGGCTTCTAGACACCAGGACCTGCACCTGGTGGGAGCTCTTAAGTAGGAGCAGGTGTGAAGTATAATATTTTAACAGAGTATTCACAGCATAATGCTGCTGACCTACCTCATCAAAGTTGGCTCTTATGACAGTGTCCAGTATTCTCTGACAGTGCGTTCTGTACATCATAATAAAGGTAGATACCTGTGGGGTGAATGAAGGATCAATGACAAAGGAAGACATTAATACACAGTGTGGCTGACTTGAGAATTTCAGTATTAACACCATTTATTCATGGGTGGGGTGGACTTCAGCTAATAACCATGTATCCTAAAAGACTTGAAGGGAAATGATAGCCCTTAAGTGATGTTCTATGACCTTGGCTCCTGGATCTGTGCTCGCATGACACCCTGCAGTACAAAAGCACTAGCTTTACTCTGCCCCCATCTTCCACTCTGAGACTCTGGGCTCCAGGAAGATCAAATAACAGGCTCTTCACACTCAGGTGTCCAAGGCACTGCAGAGTGCTTAGCACATGGTACCACAGGGCTGAGGGGACTAAATTCTCCTTGTGGCTAAGACACTGAAAAAAACAGACTCCAATGCACCACTTGTATAAGTGCTTCTGCAAAAATCACCACAGGCATTTGGGAATTCTCTGAAATTTATGGGAGGGAGGGAGAGAGGGAGGGACAGAGGAAGGGACAGAGGGAGGGAGGGACCATCCTCATAAATCACTTCCGATGAGGTTACCTTTTCCTCAGGAAGACTGGCAGGCAGATTTAGGTCTTTGACATTTGGAAAGTCTGGCAGCAATGTCCCAAGCTTAGACCGGGGAGAATACGCCACTGTCTGTTTGGTCACTTCTCTCTTGCCCGTCTCGCTCACCCAGGCAGCTCCTTTCTTTGAATACATCACATCGTAATACTGGGAGCTTTCCTTTACTGCTATCCCATAGTAATGGTACCTGGGACACCAAGAAAAAGACAGATAAGAGTACACATGGATCATTATTAGATGGGGGGTTTCCTGGGTTGGAGAATGTTGTCCAAAACCAAGGCTGGCTGGACACATCCAACCCAGGGCTGAAAGAGTTAACTCTTCTATAAGGTTTGATATCCCTGAAATCTACAATTAAGCCACAGTTCCATGTTGCCAGCCATCAATCAGGCAGGTAAAAATAACTAAAATTGCCTCCTACAGAAAATGTTAAGTCAAATACTTTGCAAAGCAAAAAAGGGATGAGAAATTTTCCATTTATACCTGATCTCTCTAATGTCTACCAAACACCTTCCCAAGGGTACCTAACACTTGAGTGTCCCCTCTGTGAGGATCCAGACAGCAAAATGTGTTCATATAACACCAAAAAAATTCACTTGGCCATGACTGTCTTCTTCAGTGAAGGCTACTCTCAAAAACCCATGAGTTTTAATTTTTTATTTTATTATTATTAATTTTGAGAATACGTTTGACTGTGTAACCCTGACTGGCCTGGACCTTTGCTATTCAGACCAGGCGGGCCTTGAACTCTCAGACACCCACCTCAGACACTCTGCCTCCCAAGTGCTAGGATTAAAGGCATATGCCCCCATACCCAGCAAAAGCTGTAAAGTTAAGATACATTCAGTGCCTCACTTGACCTCAAGTGCCAAAGACTGGAACTTTTTCTTAACTCACAATTGGCATAATTGCAGACATGTTTTCAGTTACAACTAAAAAGGGATGGAAGGAAGCTGCATTTGGTGGTGGTGGAGATGGCAGGGCTTTGTTTTTATACTTTAACAATCTACTGAGGACTCAGGTTCTGAACACTTTACAAAGTGCTTTTTATTCATATTAATTTGAAAATAACCTGAAATGAGGATTGCTGCGATCATACTAAAGATGACAGTGGAAAAGGCAAGCAGTTTGCTCAAGCGTGTAGAGCAATTTCAGGCAAGAACAGGTTGTGGGCCGGTCTGTTTGCCTACATGGCCACTGTGCAGTACTAACAGTGAACAGGAGGTGTATCAAAAGTATGTTAGAGTTTAATAAACATGCAGGTTCCTAGACCCCTTCAAAGAACCCACGGATTTAGAACATCTGAGAACAGGACCATGGACCAGCTGGGAAATGAACAGCACAGGCAACTGTGAGGTTCACCAACTTGAAGTCCATGGCAAGAAGGACTTGACACTCATTATCTGATTTCACAAAATCCCCAAAAGGCTAGAAATAACACACTTCACATTTTACAAACAAGGTCTAGAGAATTTAAGTGATGCAGCCAAGACCACCCAAGTGAGTAGGCAGCAGAGGCAGGATTTGAACCTCTAATGGGCTTTGCACCTCTGAGTCAGTCAGTGATTCCCATGCTTTATTAACACTAAGAATCACCCACAGAGCACACAGCAGCATCCTGACCCCCAAGATTCCGATTTAGTGGGTCTAGGGTGGAGTTTTACAGTGCAGTGGCAATGCTATGGTAATCATGAGCCTGGTTTTTAGAAACACTGGCCAATGCATCAGCTACCTTTCTCTCCCCACAGAAACATGGTGAGGGGTCCAGGGGAGCAGTCTGAGTCTTGGGAAAGGTGTTCACCAGGAGGGAGAGATGGGTGCATGTAACCTTCCCTTTCACAGCCCCCTTCCTGCTGGTACCATTCTGTGAAATTTCTGCCCAGTGGGCAGCTCGCCTCCATCTGCATGCCTCCTGGGATGAAGAACTCAGGCCCTCCGAAGGCAGCCCAGTTCATTTTCAGCCGATGTAGTTACCAGAAAGTTCTTTGTGTTGAGCTAATATCTACCGTCTGGGCCTTCTACTTCCCAACTGTCACATAACTGCCTTTCCATCTGTGGGCACTCTGTGGGGGAGGGGCTGTTCCAGTGGCTCCAGAGGTACCTTCTAAAGGAAGACAGTTGTAGCACACTGCTTTAGCTTTAAAATGTCCCTCATAACTGCTCAAAGTCAAGACAGTCATATCTTAACACAACATTATGGATTATTTACATTATTATAGGATAGCACAGCTTACTTCTTGATTAATCCATGCATGTTTCGGAGTCACATTAAAGCCGCTGTTCTGGTCTGCTCTCTCTTGGTTTTGCTAGTTTGGTTCTGGACACTCCTCACTAGAAAGCCTATGTTTGGTCTATCAAAGCGGCTTTGCTGGGGGATTTGGGAAGGCCACACTGCAGCAGGAGACTCATATGTAGCTTGAAGCATCTTGCTGCCTTTGGATTGGCTGAGGATGTGAACAACATGGAAGGACCCTTTTGGAAATGGTAGAATGTGATTCTGAGTGTGCAGAACTTCAAAAAAAATGGATGCTGTCCAGCCTGCTAACATGTAGGGTAAGGAAGAATTGGACAGAAGAAACACAGGATGTCTCAGAATGATGCCCCAAGGGCATTCAGGGTAGGAAACACACATGTTCTGTTTCTACCCTTTCTGGTTTCACATTCATCAACTCTACTATTCCCACTCTCTTAGAATCACAGAGGATGTGTTGGAGCCAGTGGTTTCCCAAAGACCACAGGCCAGACAAAAGTTTCCAAACATTTCCATCCATTCAGCATCCTTTTTAGTCAGCTCTCCCACCCCTACCTTGAAAATGTCTTACTGTGTAACTCAGGCAGCTGGCTTTTAAATCCTGTGGCCTCAAACTCCTGCCTCCTGCCTCAGACTCCAAAGTCCTGGGATGACAGGCAGAGCTACCATGTGGCTCAAATCTGGCTCAACCAAGATTTTGAATTATCGACTTTGTGATCACCAACAAACAATTTAAAAAGAATCTGATTTTTGCATTCTATCCTCACTGAAGTTACAACCTTATTTTAAAATGAAATACCAAGATTTTTCTTTATGATTGAAGTTAGGAAGTTTGCCCTTCAATGTAGTCACCTGGGAAATAAATCATTAAGAAATTATCTTAAGATGTCCTTTAATTATTCAAACTTTTTCTGGATGGTCCTTTGGAATTTCTCCTAAGAGCTTCTCCTCTCTCTCTCTCTCCTCTCTCTCTCTCTCTCTCTCTCTCTCTCTCTCTCTCTCTCTCTCTCTCTCTCTCACACACACACACACACACACACCTACTCTCATTTTCAGACTTTATCAGAAAGGGTTTTCCCAAGTTTGATGATCTTTTCATTGGATGATGAGAACGTCCTGCCCAAATCCAGGGCGGTGGCACAGGCCTGGGCTCACAGTGGTAGGGAGATAAGGAGTTCAAGGCCTCCTTGGGCTATACATCCAGTTTGAAGCCAACCTGGGCTATCTAAAACCTTATCTCATCATAAAAACCAAACCAAATTCAAACAAAAGAAAACCTAGGGTGTACAGCTCAGAGGCCAGTAAGAGTCATGGGGTGACTGTTTCTCAGGGTCACCTGTGGGGTGTGCTTTTACGCCCCCCCACACACACAAGATAAGACTTTTAAGTCCTATATGGTGATTTCAAGTTTTTCTTCTTAGAGAGGTTTTGACATTTGAGAGCTGCTTGTGCTGCCTCGCTCAGGGTGGTCAAAGGTCTAGAATGCTGCTTAAGAGGAAGGCGCCCTCTAGTGGAGCTACCATGCACATTAGCATAATAAAGGTTCTTAGAAGTCTCCAGTAAAGGAGCTGTTGAACTGGGGCTGCCCAAACTTCTGTGGCCACCTCCCTCTTCCAAGGAACACTTCCTGACCCCTTAAAGCATCCAAAACATCATTACAGGTAAATGTGGTGTGTTTTTGATGGAGTAGGACAGGCTGGGCCCTCTTTCTGGTACACACCTGGGAAACAGGTGTCCTCATGGCTGACACTTCCTCTGATCTTAAAGGTCAGTGTCTCCAGAAGACCTTTTCATCCCCACCCTTCTTATTCTCTACTTGACCTGAAGTCATCTTTGCATGTCTGTCTTACATAACAATGTTTCTGGCAAGCCAGGCATGATGAGACTTATAAACTCAGTATGTGAGAGGCCCAGGCAAGAGGACCGTGGGTAAACTTCAGTTTACAGAGTATGAACCTGCCTCAGACAACAAAAGTGAAGCAAATGCTGGCAGGCTGGTTGAAAAGCACTAAGGCAGGGGCAGGAACCTTCTGTCTCTCCCTCGTGTTGTTAGAGATGGTTTGTAACTGTATACTATCAGAGCAGAGGTTACTCAACTAAACCATCCAAGCAACCTGTAGATAGTATAAGAAGTCACAAGACTCCTTGAAAATATGAATGGATTGCTTTATAAAGAGCACTTGAGGACAGGGTGTCCAGGGTCAGAAGGTGACAAGCAATTGCGCCAAATGTCCCAGGCTTTTGGATGGTCAGCCTCTCTTTCTGAATGGTCCTGAGAGAGAGCCTAGCTGTCATAAAGTTCCTTCATGTCCTCCCTTAGGTTCAGATCCCCCCAATGCCTGTAGATCAAACTTTGGGGGAGCAGTCTAAGGTCTGGCCTCAAGGCCCAAGGCGAGTGCTGTGAGCAGCATGGCTGTCTGATGCTTACTTTGACTGTCCTCGGGTCCCGAGTCTTCTGGTGGTTAGCTGAGGGAACTGCTGCCTTATGATCTGTAAGACAATGCAAGAGCCAGTTACCCATCAGGAAAAGGTGTGTGTGTGTGTGTGTGTGTGTGTGTGTGTGTGTGTGTGTGTGTGTGCGCGCGCGCGCGTGTGTGTACCTGTGTTTGGTGGTACAGGAAAGGAAACAGACCCTGTCTGTAAGACAACACAAGAACCAGTTACCCATCAGGAAAAGAGGGGGGTGGGGGGACAGGGAAGGAGACAGACCCTGATGCACTGACTTGCTAGGAGTCTTTGGATACCCTAGAGAAGACTCCTGGTGTTGAGTGGGTGCAGGTGGACAGTGCTTTGATGGTTGTGAGGCTCAGATCCTGAGGGAATATCACTGGGTTACAGGTGCTTTATTCTCTTGTATTCACAGCATAGGAGAGCCCAGCCTGATCTAAAATACACCAGTTTCTCTTGCACCTGGAACCAAGCCCACCTTCAGCCCTGTAACTAGGCCTTCATCCCTACAAGCTGGCCCCTGTCCTTCCCACATCCCCTACAAGAATGCCAAGGTCACCCACATTCCACAGGCTTTTATCTCTGAAGATGACATTTGGGCTTCTGAGCAAGCTCCCTCTGCTCAGAGACCTCCTGGGACCAAACAGTGTCCAGTAGCACAGGCAGCCTCTTGCAATCACCTGATTCTAATTCATGCTTTCTTACTTGGTCTCACCTGAGAGCATCAGGGCATGTCCTCATTGAGTGTTATCGGGTCAGGGTATGTGAGAGCAAAGACCTTGCTTAGGGCTTGGAACACAGGAAAACTTGGTCTTGCTGTGAACTGAAAAGTTTAGGCTCTCGTTCCTGCCCAAAGGGTTTCCTTTGCCTCTCTGTAGAGGATCTTAACAACTGTGGCCTAGGACAACCACACTCCTGAAAGGAGTCTGGTGAGAAGGTCATTGGACAAGGTAGGCACACATTCTTGGTGTTCACTGATGATGTTTTTGGAGAAGTGACATAATGGAGAGTTTGTGTAGTAGAAGTTTGGGTATTAGAGGACCTGAATTACATCATGACTCAGCCATTTGTAAGATAGGTCCATTCACATCCAAATGGCGTGCTTTCCCTATTTACAAAATAGAAATGGGAGCCAGGAAGATGGCTAAACAGTTAAAAATTTGTACTGCTCTTGCAGAAGGACCCAAGTTTGGTTCCCAGCACCCATGTCTGGCAGCTGACAACTACCTGCAACTCCAGCTCTTAGGAATCCAACGCCCCCTTCTGGCCTCTGCAGGCACCTGCACTCATGTGCACATAACCACACACAGATGCACGTGCATATGCACAATTAAAAATAAAAGCAAAGTCTTTAAAATAAAAATGATAAGAACCTCTACCTTAAAGAAGCCTTGTGAAATTGGGGTGGGGGTGTTAACCAGATGTTATAGTTCAGTGCTTAGTGAGCACTTGATAGGGTGCTTCAGAACCTCTTGACTGATGGCTCATTCCTTCCTTCCTCAGAAGCCTTTCTCTTTACGTTTACTCAGAACCCTCAGGCATTGCTCCCTTCTGCCTAAGTCCTGAGCAGATGCACATGGTCAGAGAGATGAGGCTGCACACTGTCCTGCCTGAACAGATGCTGAGCCTGCTTCCCCGCTGGTGGGGTGCAACCCCAAGGGCTTTCTAGAGAGGAGACTTCTTTCATCACATTGGCATTCATTCTCATCTATGCCAGTGCTCTCATTGACGTAGCTCATCCGTGCAATACACAGGCATGACCTGTTAGCTGTTTGGACTTGACATACTCAATCTTTATGTACCTTGGTTCCCTTCTGTGATGTCTGAGGACTCAGGGAGTCACGTAGTCTGCTCTTTTGTTTTGTTTTGTTTTGTTTTGTTTTGTTTTGTTTTGTTTTGTTTTTTGAGACAGGGTTTCTCTGTGTAGCTTTGGAGCCTATCCTGGCACTCGCTCTGGAGGTAGTCTGCTCTTAATCAGAGGGACAACTGGAGGTGGCATCAACTCAACTAACATCAGTTCAGTGGGAAAGAAGTGAACAGAGAGTGAGGACCTGAGATCTTAGAGTGGTAGCGTGAAGATTGCCCACTTTGCCACACTCTCAGTGTGGAGAATAGACAGGCAGCCTTGCCTCATCTCAAGGTGAGGGAGAGAAGAGGCAGCTCACATGATCCTCAGTGCAAGAATATCACAAAACCACTTGGAGAGGGAAATGAGACTTTATGAACATTCTTTTATGGGCTGGAGGGTGTGGTAAA